ATTGATGATATCATTAGAACACCTGAACCATTAGTATTTGAGGAATCTCCTGGTATTTTGGAAGACCTTCCTTCACCATCTATACATGACAGCCTTCCTCCACCCCCTGTTCCCTCTCCTGTCCCACAGACAGACCTGGACACACCTGCACAACCTTTAACCGCCATTACCACACTCTCTGATATTTCCCTACATTTAGAACAAATAGATGAATCTGCATTTACTCCTATTAGAAACTCAAGGCCCTCTCCTTTAGATCTGCCCTCCTCCAATGTTCTAAATGTACCTTCAAATTCCTCTGCTCCTCCCTGTTCAGACACTGTGTCAACAAAACACATACATCCTCCACCTACTGACTCAGATCACATACCCTTAGCTGACCTTTCCTCTGTCCACACTACTACAAGAAATCCAGCTGTTCTCCCTGTCACAGACATTGTCAATACCTCAACTCCAGAATCAACTACAAACATTGTACAAGATTCTGCCGTTTCTCAAGACTTAGATTCTGCACAGTCAAATTCCAAGTTGGATTTAGACCCAGCAGAGGCAGCTCCTGTCTCTCTAATGGACAGCACTGTGTCTTCCCCTATAGACTCTGGTGTCCAGTCAAGCATGGACAGGGAGACTTCCAGCACAGAAAACACTGTCAATAGCATGGCGTCGACATGATTTAGTGTCGTAGCCAAAAAAACATGAAGCTTTATGTGTTGCACCAGGAGGCAGCCACCCACATCCATAAAACAGCGTGGAGCTGGGGGAGGGTGGGCATGTACTGCTAAACTCAGACTTCAGGTACTTCATGAAGACTGTTCCAACTTGGATTGGAGTAGGTTTGTCTTACATGAGCTGCTTTGTTTCTCAGTGCTTCTTCAACCTTCCTTGCATCATCATGAATTTGGCCAATAACTGAGAACACACAAGTGAGAGTGCCCCACTGGCTGGTTGGCAACTTGCAAAAATGGCAATATATCCTCTTCAGGAACATGACTGGAAATCACCAGCGTATAAAGTACTCGGTATTTGAGAAAAAGCACAGATTGGAGAGAGAAAAATGAATAAACCCCTGTACTTTAAAATACCCATGATTTCAGAGATGTCATCAACTCTGGTGAAGAAAAGAAAAGCCAACAACAAATAGAGATACCACTGGTATGTTAGGCAAAAAACAAAAATAATGAAATAGAATCTGCCTTGGATATGGACAAAGAAATTGCAATGTTACAAAGCAGTATTGTTGCTGTCAATGTACATAATTAATATTTGGAGACTTTGTTTTTTTTTTGTTTGTTTGTTTTTTTTCACCAAATACAAATACCAAAAGCTGCCCTAACCAAAATGAACCTAGATGTTGTGCCAAAAAAAAAAAATACATAGCAGTCCAGTGTTTTTCCTAGCTCCAAGGAATAACTCTGGAAAGAAATGTGGAGTAGAAATGCCATGTTAAATCCTGGGTCAGTAGGTTTGTTTATGTGCCAATTTCTTAAGAATTCTCAGCTCTAAGTCTGCGTTCTAAGCAGAAACACTTTAAATCCCTTTTCAGCTTCATAATTTGATGGTTCTAATGAGAGTTTTTACCCTAAAATTGTGTCCCAGAACATTTCATATCAGCATAGAAAAGGACGAATATGCCAATCCAATGCTGTTTAAATAATACCTTGTTTTTACAACTCCCTACACCATGAAATCATCAGACAATGGCTCCAGTTGATTTACTTTCTTTTTTTTTTTCAAACATACTAAGCAAAGGGATAGAGTTTTCATGGGAGTCAGGTAACAGTTAAACACTGGCTTCTTTGTTAATGAATCCATTTGAGATTTCCAGAATACAGATTAGGGTTTATAGGGTTTTAACTGTATTGCTATTGCCAAAGGTATATATATTTTTTCTTTCTTTTTTTAATCATTATTATAACTAAAATAAATAAATTTCTCTCTCCTTTTCTGCAAAATTTAACAGGTTTTACCAACCTTTCAACTGAAGCAATCAGAGCAAGTCACAGTTAACAAAAGATGGCCTTCCCATCTCAGCATGTAAATCTAAATGTGGCATAACTTCAAATTTTTGTTTCCAAATTCTTCTCAACTTGCATAATGAGTCCAGAAAATATGTTTTGCCATTTGATTTGTTAGATGAAAAACTAGACTGCCTTTTTAGCACGTGATTTTTGTGGATAAGGAACAACCTTTTTTTTTTTTTTAGAGTTGTTTCACCCAATGAAAATAATGATATACAAATGCTTTCTTTCTTTTTTATACACATGATCATGTAGGTTCACCTAGTTCTTTAGCTTAACTCAGTTTTGTTTTTAAACTCCAAAGTATTTTTTTCTTCAGAACTCTCCCTGGTGTGCCCTTAATGTACAGAGCTATACATCCTTATTACAGTATTCGTGGCACCTTCATATGGTGGCACTTTATTCTTGTGCAGTGGGGACAAAGCATGAAATGTTATTGTGAAAGTGTCAACAAAACTGTTAAACCTTAAAAAAAGAAAAAAAAAAAGAAAAAAAGAGTTGTCCAAAATGATTGATGCGATTGCCAATCATTGCTGCATTGATAACGTATAGTATGTGTGTGTTTTCAAAATCATGTTCTGGCATTAACATATTATGGCATTGTTTTCTTGCATACATATTTGCACATGCACGTGCAAAACAATTCTTTAAAAATACATTGCACTACACAAATTGACACTTTCCAAAATAACCTGTTGATTTTAACAAAACAAAAGGCTCTTTCTCATGGAATCACCTTTTCCTTCCAAAGCCTTCGTCCACCTTTGGACTGCAGCCTACTTGAGTTAAATATGTGTGTAACATGACAGTTGTATTACTTCCTGCTTTTGAGGTAGTAATACTTGTGTACAGGGGGATGTATGACTGTGGATGTACTACTGTTTACAACAAGCCTCACAATAATCGTTAGTAATAATAATAACAATAATTGTGCCGTACTGTATAACTTTAAAGACAGACAATGTCTTGTGATCTGAAATGTGATAAGATTTAGTAGATCATGTATCCAGGGATGTGTTGAGGTGTTATTCAGGATTTAAATCATCGCCAGACCTATAAAATACTCTGTTATCATGTGAGAGACCTGTGAAAAACCTTACACTTTGCTCACTGTTGAAAATGCTACATATCTTTAAGTGTTGGAATGATTGAGCAAACCTCAAGTGTTTCTCAAATGTATGTATTTGGAAAAATTAGGCAAAAAAAAGCCTGCTTGCTGATTGATTAATGATGGTAATTTATCAGATTGTATCATTAATGATTTAAATGAGATGTAGAAGTGGTTGTTTCATACCATATACAAATAGTGTATGTCATGTTCAATGCTGCTAGACGTCAAAGCACAAAGACCTGCAATTTGTTTAAAATTAGACTCGCATATTTACACTTATATTAAAAGGGAAAACAGGTTTAAATTTGGAAGAGAATAGGAACTTCTAGTCACACATTAACTTTTACAGTAGATGTCATGTTTGTGAGTGGGTGGATTCCTCAGTTGGTTCTGAGTTTTTCTCTGATTAAGTCTCTTGGTGTGCATTGACATTAAATCTAATATACTTGAAAGAAAAATGCAAATCCAGAGTAAGTAAAAAAAAAAAAAGATAACAATCAGCAACACAGCACAACACTGGTACTGTCTCCTCCAACATCTGTTACTTCACATGCTACCATGCAGCTATTTTAGCTCTGAGGGGAGAGATCACATTGCTTGTTCTGAGTTACTGTATGCACCTATTCCAACATTTGATTTATTTCTATGTTATTTTGTTTTGTTTACATGCAAAGTTAAAGGAAAGCAATGCAGAGCAGTGACTGCACCAGCGACTATTCTATAGGGCTGACATTTATTGTTGGAAAGAGAATATGAAGGAGCAGTGGATAAAGAAAACAAAAAAAAAGAGTGATGGGTTAGTGTTGAACCCAGCTGAAATCATGAAGTACCCAGAGCACACATTTCAGGTTTTGTGTCTCTCAGTTGAGCAACTCAACATCTCTTTGTTGGGAGATTTAAATGAATGTAAAAAGACTAAAAAACAAAAACCATAGATTGTACATTTATGTCTGATTTCATTTTGATGTTATCTTAACAGAGATAATGCACTTGTACATAAGCCATACATGTTGTTGAAATAAACCACTATTTATTGATGAAATCTGATCACCAGTATCTTATATATTTATTTTTTCTTCTCTTTCTTTCCTTTTTTTTATTTTCATTAATTTTTTTGTATTTAACAAATACAAAAAGGCATAATCTGTGCCTTTGTGTTTATAAATTTGAAAAGATCAATATTTTCCTAACCATCATCAAAATAGGAAAGATGAGAACATCCAACTACAGCAGCAATGACTTACAGCAATGTACGGAAATTGCTTGTTGCTTAGACCCTATAAGGTAAAAAAACCCCCAAACAGATCAAAATATGCCTGAAGTTTGGAATGTAAAAATAAAAATGCGAACAAATTCTCTCAATATTTATTCCATACAATTCAGCTGAAAAATCAAGGCATAATAAATTATCTGTGGTAACCCAGATCCTCTACATATGGAGAAGTTTTTTTTTAAAAACTGTGACGCAGCAGAATTTGCAGGGCTTTTATTTTGAAGTGGATGCGCGAAGGGTCATGTTAGACGCATATTCTGTAGCAGTGGACTTGTTTTGCTCTATATGTTAATTTAGCATTCCTCAAATAGGAACATCATGTTCATAAAACTACATCCTTTCTCTTGCTCATACACAACTTTTGCATTTACATGAATATACACCTGCCAGATAAATCTGCAAACGCACAAACAGAAACCAATCAACCAAGGGATCTGCGGAGAAAAGTCGAAATCCAGCAAAAAAAAGCCAAACGTTTCCATGCACGTGGCAAGGTGATGTCAGGAAAGGATGATGCAGCAGCATCACCAGGAGCGCTGCATCAAACCCTGGCTCTCCTATTGGCTGGAAGAGATGCTGCGCCGTGCTGAACGTCATCCAGACAGCAATGCGTCCTTTTTATTTGGCCAGATCGACGCACAGGACATAAATACAGCTGATTTTGAGAAAGGTGCCAGACAGACCACCGGACGAAGCTTGAGTCGAGAATATAAGCTCTCCGGCCACATCCGCAGCTCACCATGAGGGAAATCGTTCACATCCAGGCTGGACAGTGTGGAAATCAGATCGGGGCAAAGGTATAAATACTTTTTTTTTTTTTTTTTTTTTTACCTCTTTAAGGACTTAATTAAAGTGTCAAGATATTAATTTTTTTGTTATTTAGTCAGCTAAACTGTCGTTCTGATCGGGTCTGGTTATGAAAATAAAAATAAAGTTTAATACAGCATGTAAGATGTGGGGTGGGGTTCGGCCCCTGCAGTGCAGTAGCCCGATACTATGCCATGGGATGCGCAGCACTGAAATTAGTTCTCTCGAAAACGCTTTAAAATCACTCTTTGCACGATTTATATATTTACTCTGCAAAAGAAAAAAAACAGGCTAATTGAAAAGTATATTTGTTGCTGTTCATCAGTTCTGGGAGGTGATTAGTGATGAGCATGGCATCGACCCCACCGGTAGTTACCAAGGTGACAGTGACCTGCAGCTGGAGAGGATAAATGTCTACTACAATGAGGCCTCAGGTAATAAAACAATATATATTTTTAATTGTGTAAATAAAAATACATCTGAATATTTAACCACACGCAATAAGTTTTTTTTTTTTTTTTTTTTAAGTTTGTGTGTGTGTTTCTCATCATCCTTGTATGACCTTCTGCGCACATATCTCATCTGAATGCTACCATACAGTACCCTGGCCCCCTAAGCACTACCCCTTAACTATCGAGTGTCACTCCCAATGTAGTCACACAGCTGTGGAGGGCGTCTACATTGAAAGTGGTGGTGGGGAGTGAACGAGAATTGGATGATTTCTTCCATTCTCATCGTGTTGCCCTAGCAACACGGTGACGCCCAATCTGCAGGGCCGTAGCTCTATGCCGCAGGTTGACATTTGCCCTTTTTCTGAAAGCAAATGTATGCGGTCAAAAAAAAATATATATATATATATTTCAAACAGGATCTTCTATTTGGAATTAATTGCGTGATTTTAAACCTAACTTGTGATTTTCTGTCAGTGTGACGAAGATGCAGCAAACCAGCGGAACTCACATTCTGATGCACGTGTTTCCTCCGCCAGTGTTTCGACGTTACACCCACTGCCAGCTGATTGGTCCACTCGCCCTACCCAGTACGGGCTTTGGGACGGTAGTTAATACAGGAAAGCGCAAACGAAGGATATGCGCTTAGAGATGTCTTTAAGGGGCCAGTGGGACGTTTCTGCGGGGGAAATAGGTTGCACTATGGATGCAAGGGAAAAAGAAATAGGACAGCGAACCTGCTAAAATGTCTCTGTGTCCCTCCCTCCCTCTTCCTTCCCATCCCTTTTTCCTTCTCTACAGGGGAAACATGCAGTATATCTGACCCTGAGCACTTCCCTTCGGTTTTCTTTTAGGCTATTTGTTGTACCATATCCCAATCACCCTACATGCTTGCTCTGTGCCGAGCTCTTTCAGTTTTGAAGTACAATTTCGGTTTGGGATTTTAGTAAGAGACAAACACATCAGCATGACTTTTCCAGGTGTATTTAGATAAAACCTCATCTAAAAAAAAAAAAAGAAACATGAGCTGGTCTGCTTAAGGCTAGTGTGTCTCAACAATGATCCTTTTGTTTCAGTGTAGCATGCTGTCATCACCATCGCTGACAACTGTCTTTAGACTAAATATGTTCACGACAGACTCCTCAGTAGTTTATTAAACAGTTAAACAACACAACTTTATCATTGAGAAAAATAAAATAAGAAAACAGTTTATTGACTGCAGAATCTTACTCCGATTGGAATCTGCAGAACTCAGCGTAATGAAAACCTTCAGCCCAAAGCAGTGCAGCATGCTGCAGCATTTTGCCTGATAGATGTTTAATGTTACAAGCATCCCAGGCAAAGAGAGGGCTGGACAAAAAAGGAGGTGCAGGTTTAGTAAATTATGTTTAAACATGTTTTTACTTTTAAGTCAACCATTCCTTTAAATACATTCTGTATCATAAAAAAGGCATATGAAACCTTAAAGATTACTAGTATGTTTGCTTTATCGTTCTCAAATATTTCAGATAAACAAACTCAATGACAAACCAGAATAATTCCAAAGATGACCATCCTCCAAACTTTGACTCTAGACTTTTCAAAGATGTATAAGATGTATGCTGATAACTGTTTTGTTTTGTTATAAAAAAAAAAATTATATATATATATATATATATGCCTAAATTCACAGACTACGAGTCAACATCCTCTAATATTTTCTGGAAGGAACAGAACTGATAACTTGTTTAGTTATGGTAAATTATCCAGATATCTAAGGTTAAGCAGCCCCAGACCATCAGACTATAGTGCCACCTCTAATGATTTCAGTCCAGATGTTACTGGAACCACAGCTTTCGAGAAGTTTCACTTCGGTCTCATCCATCCCAAAAAAAAACAAATCTTGACCAAGCCTCTCTTTTCTTTTTGATCAGTAGAAATGTTTGTTTTGGAATGTTCCCATAGATCCAGTTTTGCCCACTTTTTTTCTTATTGAAGAACTATGACGCAGATCTTAAGATTAGATGCTGATCCGGGCACTTTTGAACTTGTGTATGAATCATTATATCTTTCAGTTATTTTGTTGGCCAGCCACTCCTGGGGAGGTGCACAGCTGTAATAACAATGTTTTCTGTTTTGTGGCCAATGACTCACACCGCCGTTTGCTGCAGTCCTAAACTTATAAATGACTCTCTAGATCTTATCATTGACTTTCACATCTGTTGATATGATTCAGATCAGGGGTCCTTTTAACGAAGCATGTTTAACGAATTCAGATTCAAATCTGCACCTCTAAATTGATCTAGTCTAATCAGACATACTTTAATAATCCCAGAGGGAAATTATAGACTAATGTTGGGAACTCTTGAGTTTTCTGTTTCACAATGGCTGCTATGAATTAGTTCGATTTAGCATATGCGTAACAGGTATGAACAGCCTTTATCAGTGGAACACCGATTCGACGAGTCACCATGACAACAGGCAACAGGAAGTGCCTGTTTCAACCCACTGGAACTAGAGATTTTAATCCAGAAATGAAAAAAAAAAAAATAATAAAATAAAAAACAGAGACAGAAGCAGCGCTACAGCTGCAAAGAAGAGAAAGATGGTGAAGTCTAATATTTTTGCTTGAGTTAATTTGTAAGTTTATATGAAGCAGACTGTGGCATGCCGTTTTTACATTTATTAAAAGCACTGCTGTTCCATTTGTAGATCACTAAAATAAGATTCTTCCTGATAAAAATCACACTCCTAGACTGAACTGTAATAATATATTGTCTAAATTACATTTTTGTTTAGAAACTGAAATGCTGCTCACTTTTAATTCATTTTTTTACACCGGGAAGAGACTTTTTTTTTTTTTTTTGCTTAATTTTTCAGATGTTAGAATTGGTTAATCCTGAACATGCAAGAGTAACAATGTTTTTCACACTCTTACTTACTGCTTTTTTCCCCCTATTACTACTTGCCATCCCAACCGTCCATGTATTCACAGGCAGCAAATTTGTGCCACGTGCCATCTTGGTGGACTTGGAGCCTGGAACTATGGATTCTGTTCGCTCTGGCCCATTTGGACAGCTCTTCAGACCTGACAACTTTGTTTTTGGTGAGTGAACATTAAATCCAAATGTCAGCACTTAATTTGTGTGAACTGGACATAACAGCATTGTGTCAGCAGCTTCTGTCACATACTGTAAAATCTATGCCGAGATTCATCAGAGAGCTCTGTACCTTTTAGTTAGGGAAATTGCAGCACAACATTATTAGGCAATCACCTCTGTGGTGTGAAAAACAATGGTTAACTGCAGAATTGTCAGTCATAAGTCTCTTCCGATGATGTCTTCATTACAATCAAGGCTATGATGAAAAAAATATGCATCACTGTTGGGCTTTTTATTTTTAGCTTCCTAGGAACTAGTCAGTAATTACCTTTAACAAAAGATAGACGCAGAACTCCTGTTGCAATATACTTTATTAGTCACAATAAAATTACGTCATAGTTATTGATGTGTTTAGTTCTTCATTTGAAAAGGGGTGAATTAAACAGGCTTTTGTCTTAAAGTGAATTGAGTTACCCAACATGATTAGATTTAATGACTCAGACCATTTTACCTTACTTGCCCCTTGACCACATATTACAAGCACTAGGTTTTGTCTTTGGGTGTAGCTTGAACAAGATGTGGTCAAAAGTTGCTCACAAAGGTTGTTGTAGTTGCAGATTTAACAGCTCAACATTGACAATTTCAATTTCCTATTCCACCACATCCTCAAAAAGTGTCCCATGAATTTTGATCTACTGACTTACTGAAAAGGCCATTGGAGTATTAAATACTCTATATGTATTGTATCTAAATACTCGTTCAAAATGTTTGAAAGCTGTATCATGAAACCAATTTGAGATCAACTTAGCTTTGGGACCAGTTGTATTATTTTTTGATTGTAGCTGAAACAATTCATCGGATTAATTGTGATTAATGGATTATTGAAATAATCAACTAATTTACAAATCGATTAATCATAAACTAGTGTATAGAGTCTCTAAAACATGCCTTTAGCTGACAGAGTGACCCACTTAAAGCATTAATTATATAAAAATAGTAAAAAAATATATAAATATTTTGAATTTAAGACAAAAAAAACTTTATTTGTCTGTCAATATGCTCTATCCATAACTCTGCACGTGGAGACGTTTTAGTTTTTACCTGGTTAAAATCTGTGAAAAAAAAAATCTTCTTTAAGGAACCTATCTGATTATTAATCAATTAATTGAAAAATCAATCAAAAAAATATCCAAAAAGAACTGCTAAAGCTACTGTTTTAAAGTAGCTTTAGCAGTAAAAATCATATAGGTTCTTAATACTTTTATCTACGGAACCTTTTAAAACAAATTTCGTTTAGTGAGATGTAACCAACTTTTCAGTTGCAAAACTCAGTTTACTGAGGCTAAGGATTGTCTGTAACTTTGGTTGTAAAGACCTGACAATCTGTTAGCAGGTGTTCTTTAAATGGGTCATTGTGAATGTGGAGGAATGTTAATGATCTTTATCTTATGTGAAAGTTGTTTTAAAAAAACAAATGTTGTACTGCGAGGTAAAACTATGGTAACCATTGCGCTGAAGTATGAAAGGCAGTTAGATTTCAGCTGCGTCCCGTAACATTACAGGAACAAAATTCTGAAAAACTAATTGGTGATATACAACTTTAACAGGTATTGCACTTTTTATGAAAACAAAAATGTGAATCCATTTTGTTACAGACCATGTCACAGTGTTACTTAGAATCATGTTTAAGGCAGCATTTAATTCTTAGTTTTATCATAATCTATGTAAAAAGACTACGCTGTAGTACCATACTCTCAATGAGTTGCTAATTTGAATCTTTACACCTTAAGACAGCATCATTTATAGAGTATTAACTTTGATTGTCATGTTCCAACCACAACATTTTTTGTTATTTAGTGAAAATATGTTATATTTTAATATAAAGTAGTTTCATTTGCGACTGCCTGTTTTTAGCCTCATCCATCTTCATCTTAGCTCTAAGGACCTGATGTTCAAGGATTCAGAATTAGGAGCACTAAAATACTGTAGAAGCCATTCAAAATTTCCCCACTTTCCTTTATGGGCCCTTTGCTGGTCGCTACAATTTTTTTAAACATCAATCTTTGTACTAAAATATTCTTTCTGCCATGAATTTTGGACATTAAGATATAAAGAGAAGCTCCTTCTTCTGGTCAGACCCTGTAATTCAGTGAAAGGGTGGAAACAGAGTTAAAAAATATTCACACCCAGGAGGAGGGGGTCACTTCAGTGGCTGGAAGTTGGCTGTCATTTGGCTGGCTTTTAATTGGGAAGGGCCATTTTTTTTAATGTGGGCTTGTTGCTGGTGATTTATAAAGATTTCGCCCAGTTGAGAGTGTTTATAAAAGAAAGATGAGGTTCTAAGCCAGGTAGTTGAAGGTAATAATGGTAAAAAGCATATAATAATAATAATAATACCAGATAATATTTGTTGAACACTTAGGTTTCCTATCTAAGGGCTATGAACAAAAGTAAGAAAATAGCTTAAAACTTAATAGCTTAAAAAAAAAGTAGTTTTTTTTTATGCATTTGAACATTTTTATCTGCACAGTTTTTAACAATAACATTTAACATTAATACAAATTTGATTCAACAATAACAAACTTGATGATCAACATTTTATTTAGTGCTTTGATAATAAAGTTTTAGGTTTGGGTTTACGAACACTGACCAATTGAAAAACAATAGAGTAAACTCAGTTCTCCAAGTACAACAATGTTAAAAGAGCAATTTGTGGATCATGCTTATTTTTTCAAATTGTACATGTTCTTTAAAGTTGTTTCAACAAGAATTATTTTTAACCTTTTAACTGTATAGGTCAAAGTGGAGCTGGAAATAACTGGGCCAAAGGTCACTATACAGAGGGAGCTGAGCTTGTGGACTCGGTGCTGGATGTGGTGAGAAAGGAGTCTGAAAACTGTGACTGCCTCCAGGGCTTCCAGCTTACCCACTCACTGGGCGGAGGCACAGGGTCTGGGATGGGCACACTGCTCATTAGCAAGATCCGTGAGGAGTACCCTGACAGGATCATGAACACCTTCAGTGTCATGCCTTCCCCAAAAGTATCTGACACTGTGGTAGAGCCTTACAACGCCACCCTTTCTGTTCACCAGCTTGTGGAAAACACAGATGAGACCTTCTGCATCGACAATGAGGCCCTGTATGATATTTGCTTCCGCACCTTGAAGCTTACAACACCAACCTATGGAGACCTTAACCACCTGGTGTCAGCCACCATGAGCGGAGTGACCACCTGCCTTCGCTTCCCTGGCCAACTCAATGCTGATCTTCGCAAGCTGGCCGTCAACATGGTTCCCTTCCCTCGTTTGCATTTCTTCATGCCAGGCTTCGCACCTCTTACCAGTCGAGGTAGCCAGCAGTACCGTGCCCTCTCTGTGCCAGAGCTCACTCAACAAATGTTTGATGCCAAGAACATGATGGCAGCTTGTGACCCCCGCCACGGGCGCTATCTCACAGTGGCGGCCATCTTTCGTGGGCGCATGTCCATGAAGGAAGTTGATGAGCAGATGCTGAGTGTCCAGAATAAGAACAGCAGCTACTTTGTGGAATGGATTCCCAACAATGTGAAGACTGCTGTTTGCGACATTCCCCCTCGTGGCCTCAAGATGTCCGCCACCTTCATTGGGAATAGCACAGCAATCCAGGAGCTCTTCAGGAGAATCTCGGAACAGTTCACTGCCATGTTCCGTCGTAAGGCCTTCCTTCACTGGTACACCGGAGAGGGAATGGATGAGATGGAATTCACTGAGGCGGAGAGCAATATGAATGACCTTGTGTCAGAGTACCAGCAGTACCAGGATGCCACTGCCGATGAAATTGGCGAATATGAGGAAGACGAAATTGAAGATGAGGAAGATGTACGGCATGATGTTCGCCACTGATTAAGCACCAACATTGAACTAGCTTTAGAATATATGTAGTATGCTTGTTATAAAGATATGTAATTTAACAATGCAAAGTAAAATGAAGTTTGTTGTTTATAGTCAAGACATTGCTGCTGAAAAACATTGCTGCTGCCAAAGCTGATTAGTAGTGTTAAGACTTGAAAAAACTTAAGGGATGATATGCGTTTTTTCCATAGCACTGCTTTGCTTTGCAAATGTCAGAAGAAATAAAGACATGCGCTAAACACAGTTTTGTAAAAAATTGTCTTGCATCTATGGTCTACAGTGCCAAATAAAAAATCCAAACTAAATTATATGTCTATGTCTATTCTGTCATTAATGAAACATTAGAACCATGTGACAATGTGTAGAAGTTTGGAGATAAAACATAATAATTTAAGTATTTTTTTTTCTGTTTTTGTCAATTGACAGATTGAAAGTTATTAAAGTTTCACATGTAGAGCTGATCAAGGTGTCTACTGCTGACGTTACGATTTCTACACTGAGCCTTTATTGTTTTTTAAAGAAGTAATAAAACAAGCAGAACCTTAGCTTTTGGTTGTTTTTTTGTTTTGTTTTTTTGTATATTTCTTTCAACAGCTTTATTCCATACATCTGGTCACGGTAGAGGTGACACATTTTCTTACACAATTTTTCAACAAATGCGCAAGGCTAAGGAGCTAATAACAGCTAGTTTGTAAAGGTTCAAATTGCAAAGGATATCCTAACAATAGACCGGAGCATCTCCAAAACTGCAGCCTTTTCGGGATTATTCCTGACAGTTATTGATGATCATGGTCTAAGTAAAAGCATGACTGATGTTCAACACATCAGCTACTGTCACCCGAACAATGAAGCAATGGGCAGATAAGCAACAGACGTGGAATGCAGAGCTTTCTGACAAATCCTTTTCTCTTTTTCACGGTAGGTTGAATGTGCAGTGCTCAAAAATGATGACACATGTCATTGGGGTAAATGGTGGAACTAAGTCAGCCCAGGCAGTTTGATACTGTTGAGTAATGCTGACAAACCTGCCATCCATGTTAACGTCACTTTGAAACATGCAACATAAATCATTGTCACATATTAGTCCACTGTTTGACAAGAACTCCATTTTCTAAAGCTTTAGCCTCTTTCACCTGAATTATGAAGCCATTTACAAAACAAAGCTGATATAAGTACCGGTAATGGATTGTGGAGGGGGGGTGGGGGTGGTAGTCTTGGCCCTCAATTTCCTAGACTGAAATTTAATTAAGTATTTTTAGGATGTTGAAGCTTGGTCATTGAAGGTCCTATGGCAAAATACAGGGCTTAACCCTCCAGGACTAGGGTGGTGTCCATGCCTTGAGTTATCAGGGCGATTCTGCCAGCAAAGGGGGGCCAACCAAAATTTGTCGGGTTGTTATGTTGTTATTATGCTTGATTTCGTTGTATCATTTATGCCGTTTATCTTTGCATCTTTATGCACAGAGCTCATACCTTTTGCAACAATGGGTAAAGGGTAGATTACAGAAAATAAAAAGTTGACATGGTGTCAACTTCCTTTATCTATGTGTTGGCTTTTTAAAACCAAAGCAGGCACTATTTTGAAAAAAAAAAAAAAAAAAAAAACATAAAAAGGCCCACTCTTCACTTCATGAGTAGTAATGAAAATTTTTTTCCTGTCACAACTTTTCCCACTTTTAACATTATATGAAAGTTTGTCACATCAAATCTAACAGCAACGTCCTTGAGAAACATGTGTGAGTTCACTATGAGTATGTAGTTCAAACAATGACTACTATTGTCACACCCTGGTGTGTTGCATTTTTTTAGCAAGAATATCTATCTATCATATCTGAGCAAAGAAGGATGAGCAATAAATCACTTGCACTGTTTATCTATTTTACACAGAAAGCAAACAAACCATGGAAAGATACTTGTGTAAATTCTCAGTCATCTAGATCTTGCCAACCACAATACAGGCTGTATTTAAGCAGCATGTATTGACCTCCATGCTGCTTAAAGTCTAGTTGTCTTTCAGTTAAAGCCTGTTTTGTTGAAGCTATAAAAAGGTAAAGGTGTTGATGGATGAAACCTTGAAATATGATGCACACCCTTAAAAGCAATTTAATAAAACAGATATGGATCAATACACCTCGAGAGATGGAAACAAGTTAACACAAACATGCAGAGAGAGATAAAGAGAAACAGGTTCCAGAGGTTTTTTGTACATTAGGGCCCCGCCCATAAATGTACTAGAGAAACTATGAATGTACAATTTGACTGTCAGAACACATGCTTTAAGATGAATGATGGCCAGAGGGATTAATTAGTGGATGACAACAACAAAGATAGAACACAATGTTGTGTTCCCATAAGCCAAGGTGACAAACTACTTTGTTTTTAGTTTCTTAGTGAGGAAGTACTGGCAGAAACCAATCCTGTTAATGTTTAAAACACCAAGCCAGAACAGATCACACAATGTACATTTTAACAGTGAAACCGAATCCCAGTTTTCTGTAGCCATGGCGTAAAATCATGCTCTGACAGAAAGATAGAGACTACCTCATATGCATAAGGGTAAATTGTGGCTCAGCATAAAGAGTAGTTGTTAGAAGATTTAGGTTAGATTTGAGCTTCTTCTAGTTACATGAAAAACAATAAAAGTAAATGCTGTTGCCACTCGCGCATCCAGGAAGACCTATATATACAGTATGTATATATATATACATATATAAATTAATTTGGATAACATCATTTTGATATCAGTTGTCTGATGGCAGTGGGGAAGAAGCTGTTTCTAAAGAAGCATCACCCAGCTTTCATCTTCTCCTCAATATACTCTTTTAGCTGTCTGCTGTGTTCCTTGGGCTTCATATTACTGTTTGTCCACTAATATTCTCTACCAAGCATTCACACAAAAAGTCAGATTAAATTACAAACCGGCAGCCTTAATAAATTATGAATTGCGTGAATACTGAAAACAATCAGACAGGATTTTTAATTCAAGTTTTACATATTACTCTTTTTTAAAATTTAAAATATTGATAATGTATCACTTTCACTCAATAAGTTTGGGCAACTTTAATGAAATCGTCCATCAAATTCCAAATACATCTATTGTTAAAGAGAACTTTTCAGGGAATGAAAAATAAAAACACTTTTCTTCTGTATAGACAAAAAACAGACAAAATAAAGCATATCTGGTGAGAAAAAGGATAAAAGTGTTTTTTTTAAGATTCAAAACAAATCCTGAGCTGGTTTTAGGCATCCTCCTCTTTAAGTGTAACCTAAACTGAAACCTTTTTGTGTGAGCTCTCACAAGGCAAGCAATTGTTCTACAAAGGAATGCTACTGTAGATTTGGATGAATGTGAAATGTGAACCTTGCTCAGTGGACTAGGATTTAACCAGTTACTGTCTGTAGTCTGGGTGTATATTTCTCTAAAAACAAAAAAAAGTGTTGTACTGATATATGATCTTTGTCCGACACTTGAATGACATGCACATGGTTTAAATTAAGTTTTAGTTTATATTAATTGAATATGCAAAAGTTTTTTAAAGCAAAAGAATGAAGAAAGTTTAAAGTGTAAAAAGTTGGACAAGATGATCTGTATGTAATGCATAATCTCTCTGTTGCTTACCTAATCAATATGTCAGAATCATAATCACAAAAGAGAGAAAAACCTTGTTTGACAAAAACATTTTTATTGAAACCAAACTTCTTTAATTTTAAAAATTCTTTATGATAGGATCTAAATACATACATAGTATAAAATAGGAAAGTAAATTTTAGGTTTAGGATTAAAATGTACAATCTTAAATCAAATATGCCATATGTACAACTACTTTCGTAGCATGGTAAAATGTTTATAATAATTTTAAACAAATATTTAGGTTTTACTGTTTGATTTTAAGGTGATACTACTTGCAAATAAAAATAAACACATTTTCCTTTTTTAACCCAATTTAGTTGCAATGCTACATTCCACAAACACAACAGATAAAAAAACAAGCAAAAACAGCAATAAAAAAAAATCCCCCCCTGACAAACCCTTGAAGTATTTTGCAGTATAGCCCTTGATTATTCTAAGAAATGCAAATTACGTGGTTACATAAAAAAAACTGACAGAAAAAAACACCATATACACTACCTAAATTGATTAAAAATCCATAAAATCACAACTCCTTGGGGGAAAAACAATTTGGCATTTACTTTGAGTGTACAAATGCTTGCAAAATACAAAATGGTGATAGAGAAATACTGTTAAAATAGTGAATATGGATAGGATACAGATGCTTTTTGTAAGCACTATTTAAATCACCTTTATATTGCAGTTAATATGGAGAATGTTTTCAGGATAAACAAAAACCTATGTAATTCTCCCTTTAAATGTGAGCTTTTTTCTTTTACATAGCAGTAAAAAAAATCACACATCAAGGAATTTGGCTGATGCTTCCATGGAAGTTCCATGGAACTGGTCATAAATCTGAGGGACTGATAAAGAAGTGTGATCAGTTACCTCAAAGTAAAGTTGAAAGTCTTTTATTATACAGGAAATCTAATTCTGTTGTAGTGCATCTCACAGAAAAAGAATATATGCACACACGTACATGTCATTACATGTGTGATCTCAGTGCATAGGCAAAACAAGGGATTCTTTATGTGCTTGACTCGACATTCCTCTCAGTTACTGAGACTTTTTTACGCTGCACAACAACCCTCTGCCCACCTTGAAACCTGGGTGTGGTTGTTGTTGCGAAGTCCTCCTTTGAGCCTGCAGAGCCCCGTGAGCCTGCTGAAAACGACTTCAAATGAACTTCTTTACCTCCCACATCAAAGCCCACTTCTGAAAACCTCTGCGGTACTTGACCAGAACTCTGCATGTAATGTGTACTGTGCTTCTGACCTGCAGACCCATTCTCAACAAACAACACTTGACTGGATTCAGTGATTCCCTGCGAGAGCCCCTGTGCTACCTGTCCAGATGCCCCGTTCATTCCCACCTGCCCTTCAACAACCATCATACCCTGAGAACCTTGGATGCCTCCAACTTGTATTAACCCTTGACTGAGCCCAGCTTGACCCACCTGACCAACCAGCTGTTGTGTTCCTCCTGACACAAGCACCATTTGGGGTTTGGACTCAACCACATACATGGGGGTAGCTGCATAGTACATGGGAGGCTGCTGTATGAGTAGTGTTTGGTTAGGGATGACAACTTTCTCCTGGACATTGGAAAGAGTTGCAGAACGCTGGGAGCTCTTAGTAACTTTTTCCTCTTCGATGATAACGGAGGATCCAGAAGCTTCATTAGACACGTTGAGGTTGCT